GCCATTATAACATACTTACGATGATTATTTGCTTGATATTTGTCTTTGCTAAAGTATAAGGTCTTTGCAGACAGAAATTAATCTTTTTTGCTATAGCGTGCTCAGCAATTAGCATGCTGCTTGCTAATTTATTGGCACACAGTAGGTGCTCATTAAGTGTTGTTTAATGACTATATGCATGAATAAATGAAAGTTTGAGTCCAATTTCTAAAGAACTCTTAGTTTAAACATTTCTAAAATTCACACTTTTATGATAAAATCTTAAAAAAAATAGGCATGGATGGGTCATACCTCAAAATTATTAAAGCCATATATGATAAACCCACAGCCAATATCATACTGAACAGGGAAAAATTGAAAGCATTCCCGCTTAGAACGGGAACCTATCAAGGATACCCACTATCTCCACTTCTATTCAATGTAGTGCTGAAAGTCCTTGCTAGAGCAATCAAGAGCAGGGAATCAAGGGTGTCCAAATGGGGGCAGAAGAGGTCAAACTCACTCTTTGCTGATGATATGATATTATCTCTAGAAAAACCCCCAAAAATTCAAGAGACTCATGGAATTGATAAATGAATTCAGTAAAGTCTCAGGATACAAAACCAATGCACACAAATCAGTGGCATTCATATACCAATAACAGTCAAGCCAAAAATTAAATCAAAGATGTAACACTTTTCACGATAGCATCAAAAACAATTAAATATTTAGGAATATATTTAACTAAGGAGGTGAGAGACCTATAGAAGGAGAACTACAAAACACTGAGAAAAGAAATTGTAGAGGAAACAGTATCAGCTGCTCCATTTCCAACTAGTAACTTTATCATGTTCTTAAGTAGGACAATCCCCTGGGTGACCAAGTAGATAGTGTTGTGTGCTACTAGTGAAGATTAAGATTTTTTTGCTCAAGGACAGAAATAGATTAAATTGGGTAAAAACATCTGGCAAGGCTCTGAATGAAATTTCTACTTGTGGCCCAACAAATTGTCAGTTGTCTTTCAGACACTTAATGATGCACAAGTAGAAAATGACTTAAAAACATACGGTAGTCCTAAGAGTAAATACCAATAAGGAGAATGAAAGGCATATAATAATGCAGAAATATACTTGATAATTGCTTGTAAAATAACTTAAGTAGCAATATTTTTAAATATAGAGAATGCTTAATCATGAATAATAGATTTAAAGTTTGTAAGATATTTTAGTTTTGAAAATTTCTAAGCTAAAAAAATGATATCTTCTTCAGCTTTGATGTTTAGTTGGTCTACTATTGTATAATTGGAAAATAGAATACCCCCAAACCATGAGGAGACCATCCAAAGAATGTTGTGTAAGTTAGTTCCTGCAGTCTTGTTGTACTGCTTCGGACTGATAGATAAATTGTTTTAGCTACTATCACAGATATTTGTCATCAAGGGTACCATTTTAGTACTTCATGCTTGAGTGATAACAGGATATATCTACAACTTTGAGCATGGTTATAGTAATTATTTATATTGATAATTTAAATGTGATCTTTCTCTATGTGTAAAATAGAAACTTTGCTTAAGAATTAGGTTTATTTTTTTAAAAGAAACAATTAACTGAATAAAAAAAAGTATGGACTTGCACATTGGCATAAACAACTCCAAGATTTACTCTTTGAGTTAAAAAAAATGCACATATTATGTTTCAATTTTTTTCATTTCCAGAATTTAATGAACATAGAAATGATCCATAAAAATGAGTTGACTTTACAGTTCTTTTAGATCTAAATACCCAAGCTTGGGAAGGTGTGATTCTGCACTAAATCTCCTTTATGTTCTTTCTTCAATGGAAAAATACTATACTGATTGTTTTACAAGTGCAAGGTAAAACTTAAAACCAACCCTTAAGTTATTAGTAGGTAAAAAGTTATTTCTTTGCTGATGACTTATTAAGTTTAGAATTTAATTTATTCCGTAATCTGCAGTGACAGGGAAGTGTACACATCCTTTTAGAGTTCATTCTAAAAGTTATTTTTATTCCTTTAGAAAATTTTGGACATTGAAGAAACACAGTCAATGTGGGAGTACCTTAACTTTCCCTTTGACGTCCTGGTGTAATGTCATCGTATTGTTGACTTTTCCCCACGAACATTTTGCATCATACGCTCATTGTCTTTCTTCTAATAATCAATCAATCAACAATGCAGCAATAGAAGCCAGCATAAGTGTCTGCCCACATGTGGCAACATGCGCCTAATGGTGCTGAGAGCTAATGAAATAAAATTCACATGTGGTAATTTCACTTTTATGGTACAAATTACTAATGCCTGCCAACCCTCAGAATTAACCTCACGAAGACTTCTCTAGCCTTATGAAGATCACTCTTTTGAAAATCTGCATGTGCTATATGAATTAGAACCTTATAGATCAATGTCTTTATCACAATTAAAGCAAAGGACTCAAGACAATACATCGCTGAAAGAGAGCCATATAGACAGAAGAGTTTAGAAAATACCCATTTGAAGAACAATGAACCATTTAGTGCTAATCCTAGAAAAAAAGAAGTGAGAATTGAGAGAGAATAAAGTAACCAACTGCTCTGAGGGCTTTATTATGGGCCACACACTATTTTAAATTCTTTACATTTATTATCTCATTTAAACTAGATAAAAGTGTAATCCACATTTTACAGAGAGAGGACCTGAGACATAGAAAGGTTAAGAACATTCCTAAATTCACACAGGCGGTTAATGCCAACCAGTGCCAGCAACTGAGCTCGGGCATCTCACCCGGGAGCCTGGTGTCCTGCCACCCACCACAGTGAAGGCACCACCCCAGAGAATGAAAATGGGTAATTTTATATATTCACTGAAAGCAGAAGGGGGAGGGGACAAAAACAAAGAAATTCAAGCTTTAAAACCAAATAGAAGATCATTAGTAAGGTTCCCGAGGGAGACAGTTAAACCTCTAATTTTGAGTTTTTAAAAATAAGACAGTTTCTATTGCAATCTTTAAATGTTTCCAAATAGATAACATAGATAAATATTAGATAAAATTAGATACAGTAATTTTATCTATTTTTACCTATATCTCCTAAGTGGTTCTCTCCCAAGTCCTCTGATTCAATATGAAAACGCTGATTTTCTTAATCAAGAGAAGGAATATATACAGACCACACGTTTCATTCCAGAATCCTCAAAGCTGGCTTTTGGACTTGCTCGTACTTACTTGGATATGCTTCTTATATAGCATAATTTCCTTGACTTAAGCCACGGAGTTTATTTTCTGTCGTATAATTATTTACTAACATCAAAGTCTGAGACTATTTTTATGAATTTTTTTTTTTTTTTTTTGAGACAGAGTCTCACTTTGTTGCCCAGGCTAGAGTGAGTGCCCTGGTGTCATCCTAGCTCACCGCAACCTCAAACTCCTGGGCTGAAGCAATCCTCCTGCCTCAGCCTCCCGAGTAGCTGGGACTACAGGCATGTGCCACCATGTCCGGCTAATTTTTTCTATATATTAGTTGGCCAATTAATTTCTTTCTATTTATTGTAGAGACAGGGTCTCGCTCAGGCTGGTTTCAAACTCCTGACCTCACGCAATCCGCCCACCTCGACCTCCCAGAGTGCTAGGATTACAGGCATGAGCCACCACGCCTGGCCTATTTTTATGAATTTTAATAAATAAGGATTATAAATATATTAATTTATTAATGGGAAATATTTTAATGTAAACATTAAAACCATTTTATAAGAATATTATACAATGTTAATTTCAAGTTAGCAGAAGTAGTACTATATATACTATGTAGAAAATGAAAATATGGGTTATAGTCATACACTGAAATTAATATAATTGTTCTAGCACCTTTTAAGATTCTATAATTTTTTGTTTTTAGCAAAAACAATGCTCTAAAGAGAAAAGTTAGTTTTGCTGAATTAAAACAGTTTTCAATGTAGTTAAAGTAATTCGTAAGTTTCGTGAATTACTATTTAGAAATTTTTATTTCTATTCATAATATGAAATTATATGTCTTTTTGTTATATTGTTGATGATTACACAAATCAACAATCTGCTTTATTTTTTCCATTTGTAAAATGATTTGGGAAATGTATTTCTTTTAATGCCTTAGCAAAGTATTATAATGAAAATGTTAACATTAGCTTTTTATTGTGTTTGTAATATTTTAGATAAAGGTATTCTCTATGAACTATGAAAATACACATTTATAACTTTTGTCTTTAATATCTTGTGGCTCTGAGCCTTTTAAAAGTAGCTATTAAAATTGAAATATCTATCTTATATTTTACTGATCTTTATTAGAAATTCATGCATTCAGAATAAATTCTCTGTGGATGTTTGTCAGTATTTAAAGGGACTATTTATAAGTACTGGGGAATTCACACTACTAAAATGGACAAAGTTTTCCCTAACGGTAAGAGGAAAAGAAGTCTTTGTTTTTTTTACTTTCCTATTTTTTTTTGCCTTTTTTGGGATAAATAAATTTCAACAAAGTCTATTTATTATGTATAGCGCTAATGGACAGTAATTAGAAAAAGCTAATACAGTCCTGCCAATTTAATTTACAAGGAAAGTAAGTCCAGTAAACTAAGTAGCTTGTCCATGGTCACCCCACCAAAGTGGCAGAGACAGGTACCCTGGTCCACAGCCCAGGTGTTCTCTGTTCTACCACACCTTGTGATTCCCTCAAAGAGGAGAGAAAGAACATTTCTGATGCAGTAAGAAGTGTCATCAATGTACTCTAGTGTTTTGCTTTGTTCTGAAAACAAATTAGGGCCACACCTCAATGCTGATCACACCTTCCCAACCGGAAAAGTGCGGTCTTTTGAGTCATCACCATTTGCACATTCTGAGCCCTGTACTGTTTGGGGCTTCTCTATGCAGGTATTGACAATCATGTCACTGCGTGGAACCGGCTGGCACAAAATTGATCATGTTCTTATCAGGCTCTATCAAGACTGCACATCTCAGTCACTAAACCTGTGAGACTGGTTTCTTTTCTTGTTGCCAATGACTGTCATTATTTTTCAGCCTCCCAGCCCTAACCTGGCTGATATAGATCAGATGTTGATGGAATAGAAGCTGCCCCAGTCTTGGGTTCATGATGTACGCGTAAGTACTCAGTTTTTCTCAGTACGTGTTGTTGATGGGATCAGAGGTTCACAACTCCGGAGACAGGAAATGCAGATGTTGGTCGGTCAAGAGTGCTTCAAAAATTAGAGTTTTTCATGTGTGTGCTTTTGTATTTTCTGGTAAAGTTTTATTGGGTTGTGTTGTTGTTGTTGTTGTTGTTTTATTGTGGTATTGTTGAAATTTCTATATGGAGGCCTCATCCATTTTGATCCAAAGCTTATAGTTCTGAAGATTTTAAGTATCCTTTCTAATTGGATTCCAAACCAGTATTTTTTTTTTTAACACAGATATTATGTTAAAAATAGAGACTGTGCATGAAAAGAAGGTAAGGTGTAGTGATTTTTAAAATGTGTTAGTAAAAGTGTTTTTTTGCTCAAGGCATTTAGTCTCAAAGAATGAATGTGTAAGACTTTTAAAAAGTGGCCAATATGGTCATTTCTTTCTAAATAATAGAAAGGGAAATGATGTGCAGTGATAAATTAACTCTATTAAAATATTTAGAAAAACCTGTGCTTCAAAAATAAAGTATTTAATATAGTTCATTTGATTTCTCTAATATGTTTAGTAGCATGATATAGATTTTTATAATATGTTGCTTATCGAAATATATTCCAGGAAAATGAGATAAAAATTTAAGAGGAATGTGTATTGGAATTATTTGTTTAACTCTAAAAGAAAGTATGATATAGGCAATGGGATTATTGTATGTATTACATTAATGAAATGAGCAAAATTAAAATACTTATCTATAAAAAATTATGGAATTAAAATCTAGACTCTGTGACATTTGAACTCCAAAATAATTCATCAGTTGATGAATTTATGGTAAATAAATTTGTACATATGTTTATATTTAGATAATATTTAGGCTATTTTACCGATTCAAGAATGAATAATTGATATTTGATTAATGATATCATTCAAACTCCTGCTCAGTCTAACCATATTTCTCAAAGAGGTTCATAATCTCTCTATAGACACAAATTTCCCACATGTTCTGTACTGGCTGGTATTTCAGACTTCATGATTTTGTGATAATTGTAATTTTTCTGTCATTTGATTTTTGTCTTCAGTTAAATAAAACACATTAAGCCTGTAGGCTCTGGCACTCTTAAATGATGAATCTTCTTGCTCTCCCTAATTTATTTTCTAATAACAGCATGAACCTGAGGAAGACTGTTCCTTTCATGCCTAAAGATTTCACCAACAGACCCTTTCATGATAGCATGATATAGCATATTGTATGTACTTCCTATGAAACATGAAAGTATATTTCTTATTTACCAAGGTAAACACAAAATAAGATGAAATGTGCAATATAAAAAATTTTTATACTTAACATTCATATAAATAAAATATGTTAAAATTTTCAGTTTACAAAATTAACAATTCTAATATAGTTCCTTCTTAAATTTATATTTGCGGTCTCTCATACTCATTTATTTCAGAATTTTGTGGTATGTCTTTTTCTATTAGCCTGATTCTTCTTTTCCCAACTTGTGGCATCGTCTCTACTCGCTCACTTTTCCATTCTGAAAGCTTCATTATGGATACATGAAATTTCCATATAGAGGCTCATCAAATTTGATTGAGATTTTATAGTTCTGAGGCTTCTAAGTATCCTTTCTAATTGGATTCCAAACCAGTATTTCTTAAACACAGATATTATGCTAAAAATAGAGATTGTACATAAACAGAAGGTAAGGTAGTGATTTTTAAAATGTGTTAGTAAAAGTGTTTTGCTCAAGGGATCTAGTCTCAAAGAATGAATGAGTGAGATATCCCATAGCTTCTTAGCAAGAGTCCTATCTTCGCTGTGGTTAGGTTGAAAAAGTTCCGGCATGAGATTCAGATGTGTTCTAGATCTAGCTTTGCACTGATTTGTCTAGACAAGTCACTTGCCTCCCAAGACTTAACTTTTATCTATAAAACATGGTGTGAGAGTTTACAGTAGAATAACTGGAGGGAGGGGGTCATCATCATTAATGGGCTTTGAAATCATTTTTATGGATAAACACAAAGCTGTTTTTGGTTTATTGGTTTATTATTTTTTTGGCATTATCTTGTTTTTTTTCTTTGTTGTATTTCAATAGTAATGAATAATATCTGATATTTCATTATATTTTTACTGTATCTCGTGGAGTCATTGTTTTAGATATATGAGTATTTGTGTGTACCATGCCATGATAATAGAACATTTCTTACTGTGGATCATGGTAAAAAATATTTTTAAAAATACTGTATTAGATAGCTCTCAAGTCCTTTTGAATATTTAAATTGTATGATTTCAAAGAGTTAATAGTATGGAGAACATTAACTTCCTTAAAGGCACTAAAGAACAACTTAAATTATCCCAGATGGTAGATTATTATTTTTATTTTTTTACTAGTCCCTCCATCTGATGCTCTTTATAAGTGAGGCAGAGGTAAGAGATATGGTCACCAGAAATTGAGGCCTTTGTGGAGAGGCAAATCAGTAAGCCACACCCTGACGGCACAATCTGATAAACAAATAAATCAGCATAAACACGGTGCTGTGGAAGTGCCCACTCGATCTCATAAAAGCTGCTCTGAATATGTAATAACTGAGTTTAGCCTTAAAAAGCCAGTAGGAATTAGTTGGAGGAATAAGCCAGTAGGAATAAGAAGAAGGTATTCTGGGCTGAGAAAACATAATCCTTGCAAATGTCATGCGACTTGAGATATACTCTCAAATAGATGTTGGAAATTGTCAGATGAAACTGAAGTGATCAGTCTGACTATGGAGGGCCTTTCTTACCAGATTAAAATCTCTGGACTTTATTATGAAAGTTGAGTGAAAATTTAAGCAAGAGGAAAAAATTGATACAATTTGCAATTTAGAACTGTTAGGGTGGACCAGCGCAGTTTGATGGCGCTATTGTCATCTGGGTACAATTGCAGAACTAAATGGAGTGGCTAGGAGACCACTTACATTACACGTTCTTTCGTCTGCCTACAATTAATGCTCCTCCCCACATTCGGTGAGACCCCATGGTCTTCCTTCAAGGTTCTAATCAAAGTTATTGTGAAATTGTTCTCCTACCCTCACATCTTAATTATTCCTAAAGCACAGCCATCCTCTTCAAACTTGGATAACACGTTGTGTACACTTACATTGGCATTTCTCTCCCTGTGTGGTTATTCCTTTTCAGTTATGTCTTCCCAGTTAAGCAGAAAGCTCTCTGTATTCCTGGTGCTAAACAGACTGCCTGTCCCATTGCAGACTCTCAATATGTGCATGTTGACTTATGATTAAAAACTAAATATAAAGGCCAGGTGCGGTGGCTCACGCCTGTAATCCTAGCACTCTGGGAGGCCGAGGCAGGAGGATTGCTGAAGGTTAGGAGTTCGAAACCAGCCTGAGCAAGAGCAAGACCCCCTCCCTACTATAAATAGAAAGAAATTAATTGGCCCACTAATATATACAGAAAAAATTAGCTGGGCATGGTGGCACATGCCTGTAGTCCCAGCTACTTGGGAGGCTGAGGCAGGAGGATCGCTTGAGCCCAGGAGTTTGAGGTTGCTGTGAGCTAGGCTGACGCCATGGCACTCACTCTAGCCTGGGCAACAAGAGACTCTGTCTCAAACAAAACAAAACAAAAAAAACAACAACTAAAGAAATGAAAAATCCTTTGTACTATCTAAAAAAACCCTGCTGGTATTAATATTAGAATGTTAAAGACACATTCCAACAGGTGAGATAATTCAAAAGCAAGTTGGTAAGAATTAATTCCTGAAAATAGACAAAAAGAAAACCTCAGTGCAAAAATAGACTGTAAGGTGTTTCTAGATACTACTGTAAGCAAAAAGGAAAAAAAAAATTCAATTAATCATTTGATCCACAAGGTGCAAAACAACTGTCTTAACTCTTGTATTTCCCTCTCTTATGTCCATTGACAGATTCTGGTATTTGCTTTGCACTGCTTCTTTTTATAATCCACCAAATGAACTTGAACAGGCAGAAGGACCTAAAATGAATGAGGCCTTTAGTGCAATATGTGAATGTCAAATCATAAGGGAATCAGTACAAAGTAAAAGTACCTACAGCTTCATCTTGCTAAAGGTATTTAAAAACAGGTTAAAAATCAGGTCATTGATATGACTCCCATCTTCTACACTGAACTTATTATTTCAGTCATGTGTGTGCACCTGAACATGTTGTAGAGACCTGTTAAGAATTGGGTTTGACATATTAGCATAGACACCACCTCGAAACTACGTCAATGGTATCATCCTTTCTTTCCTCTCTGCTAAATAAGTGAAGCATTTCCTGTCCCATTATGACCCTACTCTCTACCTTCCCCTCCCTTTTATCCTTCATTTTTCCATAATCATCTTGCTCCTCCGTGGTTACTGGGTCCTGATTATACTTCATTTCCAATTGCAAACTTCAGTTGCTTTAAGTGGCCACCATTTCTGATAGGTAAACAAAAGATCTTTCTTTTTTTTTCATAGCTTATATAATCATATTAGTTTTTAAGAAATATTAGCTCATGGGATGTTGCAATTGAGTAGTTGGGATATTATCAGATGAAATGGTTGAGACAAGTATCTTTGCCTTTTCACAGAACGAACAGAAGAATTTTCAGTGACATTAACTCAAGAAATGTGTCCTTTTTAGAGGAGAAGACAGACTTAGATTCCTTTGCTTTCATGATTCATCATGTTTTGGACAACTAATTCCTGCTTAGGACTGCTCCTGTGTTCTTTCCTCCTAGGCCCAATAAGAAAAGCAAGAATTTAATGTTTACTGTTTCTTTGAAATTGGCAAAACAATTAATTTCTCCTTATTTGAACTCATTTAGCTGGTCAACTGCCATCTTTCTCTTGCTGACAGCAGCTTTTAAAAGAACCCTAAACATTATTTGTAACTAAACTGTGGTGATACAGCTCATTAGCTGTTCTCCATACACAAATTTATGGACTTTGAATCAGATTTTTAGTAGTGGTGTGTGTATC